TGCTCGATATCAATCATGTACTTTGATATGTGCCAATTATGTGATTTAATGGATTTAAATGAACCTCTTATTGCCTCTGAATGTATAGTTGGTCACTACGTTGTAAGAAAGGAATTAGATTGTATCAAGGATATCAAAACGAACGAAGTTTTCAAAGTGGCATCTTTTTCAAAAGATTTTAATGAGATTACCTTAATTTCCAACACCACCAATAAGACAAGGGAGATTAGTAGAAGTGAAGCATTTGAAATGCTCCCATGTGTTGTTGTCAAACTCCCTGATGAAGAGAAATATATTCCTGTGCATTATTATGCATATCAATACTTTTAATAAATTGAAATTTATTGACTTGGAAATTTATTTGTTATTTGAAATTGGAAAAATTTCCAAGTTCCCTCCTGCTAAGACAACTTTTCGCTTGTTTGACGAAAATAGCTTGACGCAAAATCGTCAAAGTACCAGCACGCTTTGACAGTAAGTGTTTAGCGGGTTTTGCAAGCACTTCAAAAATATTTTTATCGCCCTTAATAATTCAAAGAAAATGAGCATTTATTAAATCTGAAAAATAGAAAGAACGGAAACAACTTGCATCATTAAATTCAAAATTAATTATTCGTTTGGACATTATTTGGAAAGAGGAAAGAGAATTAGTGACAGAGCAACACGGAGAAGAGTTCCAGTGATAGTGAACAATTAATATTGAAACCAACACATAGATTTTAAGATATAGTTACTCTCATTTACCAATATTTTGAATTAGTGGTGTCACCATCACATGTCTATAGAATTATTAAGAACAAACGTCCTATTAATTTGTAATAAATATACTATATTTCAATTTTAAATTGTTGACTTTTGTACTTAATTGACTTCAGATACTGAGCCATCAATATGAAACTTTCTCGGATTGTTCTCTCATCAAGGGGAGTGTATTCATATTTGATACTGGTATGATATTTTGTAAATTGACTGAGATGGAGTGTAATCTTTTTATTGAAATGTGACATTTTGAAAGATTGTTATTAT